AGTTTCAGAACACTTTCATCACAACAAAAGGAGACCCCGTACTCGTTAAGCAGCCACTTCCAATTCTCCTCCACCCACAGCCCCTGGCAGCCACCAATCTGCTTTCTGTCTTTATGGATTTATCTGTTCTGGATATAAATGGAATCACACAATACATGACCTTTTTGGGGGGCTTCTTTCACTTAGCACAATGTTTCAAGATTCGTCCATGGTATAGCATATATCAGTACTTCATTCCTTTTTATGGCTAAATAATATTCCATTGTATGTATATACCACATTTGTATGTTTATTCATTCATCTGTTGATGGACACTGTGTTGCTTCCAACTTTTGGTTATTGTAAATACTATTGCTATGAACATGTGGTGTCAATTCAATGCAAGAAAATAGTTGTTCCAAAACCCCATGGTTTTCTTATGGAAAATGTTTGATTCATGTTGATTATATACTAGTACAATTACTAACTCCAAGCCATCTGTAATTTATCTGGGAAGAACAACTTGTAACTGCTATTTTTCCAGTCACCTCATTCATCCCAGGTATAAAATCAGATATCGGAGCAGTTGGGGGTTAGAATGCAAATAGTGACTGCTTATTTTGGGAGAAACAAGTAAAATACTTCTTGAGAACAAAGACAAAATGTCATCATAAATAGCAATTGTTAAATATTAGATGAGAGTCAACATTGTGCTCATAAGTCATCAAGACAAATATTTTATTCTTTAAGCCTTAAAAAATTCAAATTTAGGAGATAAATTACTTCAGCAGTAACAAAACAATATCAGCCATGGAGGTCCTTAATCTCTTCGGTCCAGTTTACGTAACATGTGGTCATCTTTGTGTCGTTAAATGCTCCAAAAATTAAATATGCAACACTTTAAAGGCACTAAGGTCATATCTGAGTAAGTTTACTCTTTATTTCTTTGTATTGAACCAATTCAGCTCTTTTCACAGCATTTCTTCTTGATTCTCAACAATGATTACATATTAGACCCACCTTTTGCACTTTTACAAATACCAGTGTTTAGGCTACACCTCAGATCAATTGAATCAGAATCTGTAGGAGCAAGCCCATGCATCTTTATTAACGTAATGCTCCCAAGTGATGCTAAGGTGCTGCTAGGGTTAGGGAGTAATGAATCAAACCAGTGGTTCTCTAACTTGGGCATGCATCAGAATTACCTGAAAGGTTTGTTGAAAGAAGTTGGGTCCCACATTCAGGTTTCTGATTTAGAAGATCTGGCACAGGCCCTGGATTTTGCATTATCAACAAGTTCCCAGGTAATAAGAACAATGAATTAATCTTGTCCTTTATACTTAGTGAAAATGAAGGTACAGGGCCGGCCCGGTGGCGCACTGGATAGTGCGCCGCTTGGGAAGTGCGGCGGCGCTCCTGCCTGAGGGTTTGGATCCCACATACAGACCGGTTCCCGCTCACTGGCTGAGCGAGGCGCGGGGGCAACGCCGAGGGTTGCGGTCCCGTTGCCAGTCCCGATCCGGGCGCTCCTGCCTGAGGGTTCGGATCCCACATACAGACCGGTTCCCGCTCACTGGCTGAGCGAGGCGCGGGGGCAACGCCGAGGGTTGCGGTCCCGTTGCCAGTCCCGATCCGGTGCGGGGGCGACACTGAGGGTTGCGATCCGTTGCCGGACACGGAAAAAGACAAAAAAAAAAAAAAAAAAGAAAATGAAGGTACAATTGGTTATAGTCCTCCTTAGAAATACCTTGAAGTTGTTTTTTTTCACCTATTTTAGATAATTTTCATTAGCATGTTAATTAAAATGATTAGACCTTTGAGTCAGATGGCTTGATTAAACACCACTTCTTCTGTATGACCTTAGGTAAGTTCTTTATTTCTAAAGCTTCAGTTTCTTCATCTGTGAAATGGGTATGGTATGCCTATTTTAAGGGTTAAATTTGATAATTTATGTAAAGTGAGTGACGTACAGTAAATATCATGTAATTATTAACTTCTTGGGGTAGCTTTTATTTTCAACTCTTACAACTTCTTTTTAGTATAGTTGTCTAACAAGTTGTTTGCTTCTTATTGGATTAACAAACAAGGAAATGTATATTAAAATCAGAAACATAGTTAATTTGGGAATTCAAGTGAGCAGATGCTTTAAAAGGATGGACTAAGGTTTTGTGTATATACAATGGTTAAAAGCCTTAGTTCTAGAGTTAGAAAACCCTGGGTTTGAGTTCTGCCTGAAACTTTTCTAAATTTGTTTTTTCCTCTGTACAGTTATGTTAATAAAAGTCCTTACATACTGGGTTGTTATGATGATTGCAATAGATGAGATCATGCAAGTACAGTGATTAGCACAGTCCTGGACATATCATAGGTACTCAATAAATGCTAGCTATTAGTAAACTGAGGGTTATTGATTCCTAACTACTCCTTTAAATTTTACCTCTCCTATCCGTCTTTTGAAATGATACATTTCTTATGGCTTTTTGGGGGATGACAGGAAGGAATGTAAATTCTCCAAGGGGAATGCAATTCCTGAAAAGAAATTTGTTTACTATCTCCCCAACACTTTAAAGGAGTGAAGATTTACTCTTCAGATACTAAATAACTTCACTATTCTTTGCATTTCCAGAATCAAGAGAAGAGCTATTGAAATTCTGGTCAATCATTAGTTTCAATTTCAGACCTTCAGTTGGGCACTTCTGTTAGCACACAGCATTTCCAATAGAGCTGCTGTCAATCCCTGCCATAACTTCCCTGGGTGGGACCTAGGGAGGTTCTCATGCTTTCTGGCAGTATAAGTGCATAAGCCTCTGATTTAAAAGCATTTTTTGTATTTCTGATTTGACTACAGAATGGAAACAAATCCCCAAACACTGTGGACATAATGCCATGTTATCTTGAGGAACTGCAGCTACAACAGTCTTTTCCATAGATATATTGACAGGAAGAATCATTTTACTCATTTTGCAAGAGAGAACGACTTTACTCTTGATAGCACTGAGTGATATTTCCCAAAGTATGGTATACGTTCCTTTGAGACGTAAAATATTTGGTGGGTGGTGCATGGACAGATATTCATTTTAATATTCTGTATTTATTTTAATATACATTAGGAAGAAACACGAGTACTTTATTTTCCAGATACTATTGTTTAGGGTAAATCTAAAATATGTAGACTTAAAATTGAGTTAAGGAAAACTATTGATTTATACAATAATACAAGGGACATGGCAAATACCACGAAGGTGCTATGAACAGGATACCAATTTGGGAAACATTTTGCAAAATATGCGAGCTGTTTGGTGCCTCTGGAAATAAAATGAGCCATCTGTGTATATCACAGATAGAAGGAACATTGAACTACAGACAGCAACATGACTATGACATTTTTTTCCAATTTTTCAGTCATCTCTGGGTGTCTTATACTCTAGCCTTTCTTTAATTGCCACGATTCTTCCTTTAAAGATTTTTATGAATTTTAAGAGAAAGATCAAGAGGAAAGAACCAAGACACTTATTCAAGTGAAAAGGAAAGTGTAAACTTTTCAGACTTCATGAGTTCTTTGTTTAAGGTTACAATTAAAAGGACCGGTCTTTGCTGGTTAATTTATGAACAAAGAACCTGGGTAAAGCAATCACATTTTTAAATGTTTTATATACTACTGGAATTTATTTCCCAATTTAATTGCCAAATTCCTAATCAGATTAGAGTCTGAGGGGGAGAAAGTAGGCTTTTGGAAAAAAAAAAAAAAAAAAAAAAAAAAAAAAGATAAAACAAATCATATCAAACTGCATATTTCATACAAAATTTGCTTATGTGCAAGTCATATGAAAAATGCATATTTTGTACAAAATTAATAGTAGAGTTAATAGTAGAGTATTTTAGCTCATTTTTGTTGTATCAGAGGCACACATATTATCTACCAGGAAACAGAATGGAATGATATACGCTACAAGTCTAGTCATGAAAGAAGGTCTTGAAAATAAGGTCATCTGGTTGAATTGGCTGGAAATTAGTTGGATAGCAACTCATGGTGATGAAGCCATAAATGGCATCCACACTGCTCCCATGGCTCCTGGGGCATAAAATTCTCACTAGCAAATGTGATTAGTTTACATGTCTGTTTGCCCTACTATAGGTTTCTATGGCTTCAGAAGCCAAAGTAACACGTTTTTACTAAATTGTTCCCACCTTGTTTAGTTCATTCAACAGATACTTATAGAGCACCTGTTACATGCCGAGCACTCACTGTTGCAGGTGCAGGGTTTGCAGCAGTGAGGAAGAAGTGGAAGTGCCGTCCTCAGAGAAACCAGAGCTGTTTATGGTAATACCACTGGGAACACAGTCATCCTCCCATTTTAATATGTGCTTCTTAAATTTGTGATTTTTAAGAGGTTCAGAAATGATTTTAAACATTTCAGAGGGCAAAATGGTAGGGAACGGAATTAGGTAAACATAGTCATGAAATTCAATTAAACAAGGTAAAAAGTAGGACCATGTTTGAGCATAAGAAGGAAATCACATTTAGAAAAAAGAACATTTAGAGCACTTGATATGCTCTAGACACTGTGCTCAGTACTTTATATACATTATCCTATTTAACCTTCCTAACAGCATTATAAACTTGTTAGCTATTACTATCCTCATTTCACAAATGAGGAATCTGAGCTTAGAATAATTAAGTGTCTTAATTAATAATTAATAATTAAGTGTCTTATCCAACACACAATAGCATAGATAAGAAATAAGCAAAACAAAACAAAAACAAAGTAGTCTATCTCCCACCTTAACCACTATGGAACAGTTCATCCAATCTAGCAGGAAGAAAGAAATAGGCAGTATTACATCAGAAGTAAGATTAGATTCATAGAGAAAATGGAAACAAGACTGAAAAGAAAAGCAATTGATTTCAGAAAAATTCAGGGATCTTTTTTCCATAATAACTTTTTTTTGAAATTGAAACATAATTGATTGTACATATCTGTAGGACACAGCATGGAATAACGATACCTGTGTGCAATATGTAATGCTCAAATCATATACTTTTTAATCTGAGTTTACAATGCTTTGAGTGTTCCTTTTTGTCACTGATGAGTAGAGGTTGTCACAACCCTCTGACCACAATACACAGTTTTCCCTCTGAACAGAAAGTCCTATATTGTTGAGTAACCACTCAGTGGACAGCATTTATCAGCTTTGGCTACAAGAACTAGCTACTGTCCAAGTCTTATTGGGTACCATGACCCATCACATTGTAATTCCAGTCATTCCTTGAAAATACTTCTTCCTTGAGAGTTTCTGAGCTGATGTAAAATACATGGTTCTTTCTGAAGATGGAAGCATTGAGACAGAGAAGGCTTTGCATTTTTCTCTCATCTGGGAATCAAACCTTTAGTAGGGGAAAAGAGAAGAAAGAAGGAGGCAGTTAGCAAATGCAAAGTGGTTTACATGCTCTTTGCCCTAATAAAATCTCTTCTCACTGGGTCTCCATTCTGGTATGAGGGGAATGTTGGCATCTGTACTTCTGCTTGGTACAGTCCCCAACTGTTTGTTTTCTTTTCTGACTTGTGTACTTGCAGAAGTAATCTCTGTTGTAGAATTAACAAGTAATCTCACACTGGAAGCTATTTCTGAGATGTTTCTCGAATGGTTCTTCAACCGTGTCAGTGTCCACAGGAGGCTGGAGTTAGGTATTACTCCACTACTACTCCTGGGATTCACTTTAGAATCTGTGGACTCTGAGTGCCTCATGTGACTCACCAGAACGTAAGATCGTGGGGCCTAGGCAGGACCAGCACCTGAAAACCTCTAAGGGTGATGCTTCTGTGTCTTCAGATCTCATCACCCAGAATTAACATGATGAATCAGTCAGACAGCCAGCTGGATGACAAATATTTATCAAGTGCCTCCTATGTGCCAGAAAAAGTAGATACAGTAATCAATAAGACAGGCACAATCCTACCCTCAGGGCTCTGATCTAGTGTAAAATACGAATATGAAACAAATGTCTATGATCGCGTTCACATGCACAGTCTGTTCATCCACATGTTACTGTTCCTACGTATGGAGCAAAACTCTTGTTTACCCTCAAGAAATCACTTGACCCAGAGCATATATTTTACTGAAAAAGATAAGAAGGGTTTTAACTCACAGGAAAGACCATTTCGCTCCAAACCTCCCTTGTCAATGTATCTTCCCAAGTCTCCTTTCTCTTTGACCCTTCTCCCATAGAACCTCTAAACCTCTCTAGTTCCCATCCCCTGTGTTCAGATCTTAATCCCTTCTCTCCTTTCTTAGGTAGAACAAATTAATTCCCTCTCAGCTGTTTTCCAACTGGCATAGCTACAGGTAAAAAACTAACTTAGCAAGAAAGACGCCCATCGATTATCAGGAATTTCTCTCATGGGAGGGCAGGAAAATATTTGTATCACAATTTCTATTTTTCTCACCTGCCTCTATATCTCCAACTCTCACCCCCCCCACACACCCCCCATTGCAATGTCTCCAGTTCTCTGTATGGTCTTCCCAGTTAGTCTGGAAGTTCTCAGGGGATATTTCACACATACTCATGAAGTGCTGTCAGTCACCAGGTGATATCTTCCATTTATTCTAGCTCCCTGTGGTATTTCTATCTGTTACGGATACCTTTGTTGCCTACATAGTTGAGCAAAGGGGTCTTGGCTCTGCTTCCAGGAGCTACAGCCAAGTACCCAGCTTTTAGACAAAGCTGCCACTTTCAGAGCCCTGATGACAGTCTGATCCTAAAAGTACCAGAGCAATGCCATAGAATATGATGCCCTTCATGTGCTGAAGCCCACTGTGTTCAGTACACAAAGGGGAGAATACATACCAACACTTTTGCCTCATAGGAGGAGTGTGCTTCCTTGTATCTCATTGACTAATGATGCTTTTGAGAAATAAACTCTATTTTATTTTATAGAGTGTATTTTAGAGTGGGGGTGATATGGCATAGACCAAATATTCAGAATGGACCCAAAATAGAACCTGATCAGTCAGATTGGCTGTTGGTAAGCAGACGGAACAATCATTCTGGAGCATCATGGCTTAATGTTAACCCTGTTTTAAAGATAACAGCATGAATCTACAAAGGTCATGGGCTATTGTAGGGAACCAATCTCGGTTATAGATGCCATGTTGTTCCTGTTCCCGAAATTCTAAAAGAGGTTTTCTGCCTATTTCCTAACACTACAGTATTGTTGTAAGCAATATAACTTAGTGGGATAGAAATGTGGGCTTCAGGATTAGATGGATTGAGGATCAAATTCCTGTTCTGCTACACAAGAGATTATAGATCTTGGGCAATTAATGTCTATGTGCCACAGTTTCCTCATCTGCAAAATTGGAAGAATAATACATAGTTATGGTGGTCTGTAAACATTAAATAAGAAAAGTAATTTGGTAAGGGTTAAAAAATATTATGCATTATTATTGTACTATGTTCTTGTGTCTAACTCATTCTTTCCTCCGCAGTCCCTTATGCTTACAGATTCTAGGCGAACTCACTCGACAAATGCAATGGAGTGGCCAGTCATGTAGAAGCTAGATAGAGAAGCAGGGAGCTGCACCAATTAAATATTTAGTCAGCTCATTCACTTAATTCATTTATTCTCTCATTCCTTCAAACAAAGTACATAGTGAGTGCTGGAGAATCAACAATGAAACAGAAGAGATCACATGAAGAGCTCACAGCTAGAGGGAGAAACAGACAAAAAAAAAAAAGAAAGAAAGAAACAATTAGAAAGCAACATGAGATGTGCTGTTTCAGAGATATGAAGAGAAAGTTACTGAAATTCAGAGAGAGCCACTTATTGATCCTGGAGAAATTAGGAAAGCTTCACAAAAGAAGTAATAAAGACTGGTTCTTAGGACAGATTTAGGGCCATTAAGTTCTTGTGTAAATGATATGCCCAGTCCCACTGGAAATTTCTTTATGAGCAGGATATTTGCTAGAACTGTTTGCAGATATGAGACTAGAACTTTAAAATCTATGCTTTCTTATTCCAGAGCTCTAATAATGCAAATGAAATACAAAGCTTTCAAGATCAAGCTTCCTCAGAATTTGACTGCATGGAATTAGTTTTTTTAGAAATTGTTTACCTTTTTTGGAGGTGTGGTAGAAGAATATTTTTAAAAAAACATTGGCCTGTTCTTCACATTACTTCCTAAATTTTAAAGTTCCTTGAAATGTGCACCATGTCTAAATAATCAGCAACAACAACCAACAGTGTTGGTTAAGTTCATGGCCCTGAAAGTATATTATCTTTACTGTGCCAAGATCCTCAAATGCACCCACTGTCTCCTCAGCTTGGGTTCCAAAAATACAGGAGTTCATTCTGCATGTCCCTGTGTTTCCCAATTGCTTAAAATTGATCTTCAGACATTTTTTCCAGGTTGACACTAATACTTCCAGTGTTTAGGTTTTTGTTTGTTTTTGTTTTTCTGGGGAAAAAATGAGTTTCTATCTTTTTCTCTCTGCCTCCCCTCCCCACTCCATTTTTTATTGCATTTTGGGCTTCGCTCTCTTAGTTGTCTGCTTTCCCTCAGGAAATGGTGCATTCTTTCTTTTCATTTGTTCAGATTGTAAAACTTCACATGGACAAGCATACACAGACCCACACAGACAGACACACACACTCAGAGGAACAGACTTTTAATAGTCTCTGCTGTTTTAAAACACAGGAGCCCTTTACCAGGAACCTCACCACTCATCTGTTAGTTCTCTGCCAATTTTCTGCTGTATTTATTTCTTAACAAAACACTTAATAGGTGTCGGTTTTGGATTCTCTTCTTTCCATGGATAATTTTCAAAGCAAGCAATGTTGAAAAGTGATCTTAGACAATCTATGTTTTTCCAGTCCGCTTTATCCTTGTGTATGTACATGGGTTACTTGCAATTGTGTGTGTGTATGTGTGTGTGTGTGTGCATGTGCAGGGAAAGGACTACAGCACTTTGGAGGTGTAAACTGGCTTTTACAGTCTTTTACCTTCTAGGTACCATCACATACCCTTCTTTAGGACTGTAAATTAATACAGCTGAAGCCCTTTGGGAATTGCTTTCACACTTGGAGAGGTTTTCAAAGGCAGGCTAGCCTGCTGGTTGGAAGCACAGTCTCTGAGTCAGTTTGCCAGAGTTCACATACTGGCATTATCATTCAGTTGCAATGTGAAATGTGAACAATTAGCCTTTCTGTGACTCAGTTTTCCCATTGACAGAATGGGGTTAAACATAATATCCATGTCTTAGGTTTGTTGGGAAGATTAAGTGAGATAGTGTGTCAGGAATGCTTAGCATGGCCTGGCAAATGATGTAATATAAGATCTTATCAAATGTCATAGTAAATGTTGTACAGGAGTGACATATCACCCAACAGAGAGACATGTGACAGTACAAGAAGTTGCAAAGACAGTTCAAAATTTTTTTGCTATGATTAGCATAACTTGCTTCCATATCTGTCTGATCCAAAATCTGCAATTTACTGTGGAAAGGACTGATGAATCTCTGCCTGGTTTTTTTCCCCCCAAGTCAGTCATGTTCTTTCTGGAATTTGTTTTGACCTTTCCTCTAACTTCTCCTTAAATGCCCATCTCTAATCACTCTTGACCTTCACTCACTGCCCTGCACCTTTTTCAGGACATGCGAATTGACATCTGTTACTTCTGTTTTTACACAATGACTGCAGTTGAGAGGCTCCATTGCCTGAAATCCCTTCCAGTTCCTAAATGAAATCCCCCTGTTCATAATTCATGTTTTCTGTATGCAAATAGTAAAGATTTCAATGCTCTACTCTAAATTCTATCATTATCATCTGTTCTTTATATTTTATTGATCCCTTTGTTCAAATGCTTACACTCTGCATTTGGGAAATCACCTTCTGATAAGTTTTCTTTCTTCCTTAATAGAATCACAGAGATTTCTCCTGTATAGCCCTTTGGCAGACATTGGCACACCTGATACATGCTTGTTCTCAGATTGTTTGTCTATGTGGCCACAGGAGGATTTATGTGGAACTTCCATACCAGTGTTAAAGATAGCCATAGCAACACCAAAGAAGTCCTTGTAAAGTATATTATTAGGTTGTACCACAGGAATTAATAATTCTCAGGCCACTATCTTAAATTGTAGCTACATTATTTTTGTAGAGAAATTGCTCAATTTATACACAGAACATAAGGGCTGCGTTCTGATCACAGAACCAGTACCAAAACGTACATGATAATTCTATGTAATATGCACAAGCTATATCGCTGTAACTGACAAATTATGTTAATTTTCTTGCTAATTCAATCCTCTCTGATTATTTTCTCCAACTCCTAGAAGTCTAAGTGAATACAATAAAAGAATACCATTCTAAAAATGGTTTTGAATACATTTTCATCTGCATCAAGAATACATTTTTAAAAGAAATTTAATAATTATGCAGATTTATCATTCGCCATAAAAAATAATTTCATTAGACATCATGCCAATTTTCTTCATAGGGTTCCTCCATTAAATAGTAACTTTAAAAACATACTGCCAGTTTGCTAGATTTTAGTAGGTCAGCATGCACACCAAAAGTGTATTAAGGTGGACTGCTCTATTTATTGATTTTCTGTGAATCTGCTATAGGCTCAGGGCAATTGTCTGAGGAAGGGGCGGGAGTGCCATACATGATCGAGGTCATGCGCATCTAGCCAATTTGTAAGACGATCCCGCCGCCCTGAGCCATCAGCAATCCTTAGCATAGGGGCACATTCATGCATTCCTGTCAAGTCATCTTGTGAAAGGCTGCCTGCTTCCAGCTTGGCTTGGATGTGCAACCTTAATAAAACTCACTGAGGTCTGGGAGAAAATAGCAGATCTGCCGCAGATAGGGTAGAGGAAAGGGTCTAGAATATGTACACGCAGCTGACTCAGGCAGGCTCCACGCTGAACGGTTACACAGAGAGGAAACAATAAATCTCAGCTACTATGCAATAAATATCTCAAGTTTTAACGAAGGAAACTGTCATTACAGTGAAATAAAAAATAACATTTTAGAACAAAGCTATCCAATGGCTACTTTTCTATGATTCTCCTTCAAACGCTTTCGTTGAGGGGGGAAAAGTCAAATAAACAAGCAGTTTTACCTGAAATAAAGAACTAGTGTAAAGGTCAGAAGAAAGGAGCAAGTTTTGCGAGAGGCACGGAAGAAGAGTCTGGCAGTACAATGACAGTGTTCCTTTCCTTTGCTTTTCTCGCTGCCATTCTGACTCACATAGGGTGCAGCAACCAGCGCCGAGGTCCAGAAAACGGTGGGAGAAGATATAACCGGATTCAATATGGGCAGTGTGCCTACACTTTCATTCTTCCAGAACACGACGGGAACTGTCGTGAGAGTACGACAGACCAGTACAACACAAACGCTCTGCAGAGAGATGCTCCACACGTGGAACCGGATTTCTCTTCCCAGAAACTTCAACATCTGGAGCATGTGATGGAAAATTATACTCAGTGGCTGCAAAAAGTAAGTGATTGCTTTCAGTTTCTAATTGCACGGAGCCTTTTCCGCTCTTGCACTGCTGCAGAGTTCCTTAGGGGGACATTTGTGTGTTTACCTTTTGCTCCAGGGGGGCAGTGTTTGCAAATGCAAGACGCCTTGACTTGCAGGGTAAGCCAAGGTTTTGAGGCTTGTGCAAGCCTAAGGATGTAGGGTGGTCTCCCATTTGTGTGTCTAGCACAGGCACATTTTATGACACTTCTGCTTTTCTCTTTTATAAAGTTTAACTTGAGTATTCTGCCTGTCAAAACCCAACTTTAAAAAAGAAAGCATGTACCTCTTGAGCAAGTTAATGAAGAAAACAAAACAATAATGGCATTACTATTTTAAGATCAAATCAATTTTACATTATGAAATTTTGTGCAGCTAGGATGGGAAATCATCACAAAATATTTTTTCAACCTTTAGTAAAATTAAAATTAAGTGACAGTAAATGTAAAGTATAATATTTGGTTGGAGAAATTGGATATGCAAATAAAGGGAACTGTTAATTTCAGCAAGTGGTAGAATAGTAGAGGATTGATTTCTGGCAGGTATTTCTTCTATCCTTGAGAAAAAATTCAAGAATATAGATTTTAATGTGAACTCATCAGGAAGGGGTTTTTCGTCCACAATGAGAGGAGAAATGAACTGGTGGTGGCTCTTCACGAAGATATGCACCTGCAGATTTGGGCTGAACACAGCTTGTGCACTTTGCTATATTCCTAAAGTAACTTTTTATCAGGGCATTGTAGTTACAGAGGCAGTTCCATTTGGGAGTCTAGGTATTCAGATGAACATGAATAATGAGTATGCATTTAATCCCAATTTATAGAAATCAAATTGAACAGATACTATTTAAAAGGTTTTGTTGAAGATTGCCTATTAAATTATGAACCCACATTCTGTAGTTCATTCTCTCTTTGCTCTTTGTTTAACTGTGTAGCAGGTATCTGTGCAGCAGATAATAAATGTATTCAACTGACTATGTTACTTGAAGGGTGGCAATGTCCCCATTTGTGAAAAGCTTCTCCTGCAGGACTTTTGCTAATAGATTTACTTGTGTATATCAATAGGAAGGCAATGAGGCTTCTTTAAGTTAGTCTGTTAACAGAAGATAAAAGATAGGGAAAGGGCAAATACTGGTTTTAGTTCTTGTGTGGTCACACTCACTTAGGTCACTGCCTGCTGAATCATGCCAAATAATAGTTATTCTATTTTCATCCACTAGGGACTGAACTAAGATCACTGTTATTTTATTTGACATGTTAACTGGAACTTGGTAGTTCTAACATTTCCATACCTGGAATTGCAGTTTGTCTTTCTATTACAGATTACAGGTGAAAAATCAATAGGTACACAGAAGAATAGAAAGCAAGCAGAATTCTGCAGACTTTTGATAATTGTAGCTTAAATTTCAGGCACTACTTATGGTACTAGTTTATAATAGGATATCTGTTTTTTTCTTTTGCCAAACTTATTTCCATAGTAAACAAATGAATCTGGTTGAATAGCTTATTATTCTCAATATACATACCATCCATATAGTTTCTAATGAGAATTCAATCATCATAAATTAGTCCAGATTTTTCGAAGGGTGTGGGGGGGGGGAAATTTAGCCCCACATTGTTCTGAATGAGCTATTTTACCAAAAATGTAATGTTTTGTTTGCTTAAAACATACAATCAAAATCGTGATTCAAACATAGTAATGCATATTTTTTGTTGCTATGCAATTATTCAGCAGTGACAGGGGAAACACATAATTCCATTGGGTTTAAATCATACACACGTTTCATTTGTTAATTTATCTTGTGAAATAAATTTGGTTCTTGTTTGCATTTTCTTGGTCAGTGATTGTGGCATAACTTTCAGATTATAGCCAAGCATAACTATTAAAATGTTCTTGGTTATACTGACCCTTGCAAGTGTGAATCAAGCTGAATATATGCTGAAAGTGTCCCTGTTGGTATGAGTCAGAGCTGTTTGGTTTGACTATTGTCTGTTTAAATTTGCATATCTTTTGTCATTGTTAATGTGATTGGTTGAAGGATCAAGAAACCAAATAAATGCATTCAGCAAAGAACTTGCTAAAGGCTCTCCTAAGTCTCCCTTAATTAGGGGTTTTCTTTACTCCAAGTTCTAAATTTTATGTAATATATTTATTTTGATAATTCAAAGGGAAATATTTTTACTGTAACCATTCAGTATGTTGAATACCACAATTTGTGCTACTTCTATTTTGATTCCAAGTAGCTGTTGAAGGATAAGAAACAATGCACTGCAGAAACTGAGGCTATCAGTGTATGTAAGTGAAATTAGTTCATCCATTTATTCAACAAAATAATTAACCAAAGCCAGTAATTATTATGCAGCTCATGGCATTACTATCAGGAAAGTTTGGGATGCAGAATAAATGTGTGTTATTGATGCTAGATGAAGCTAGATGATAATTTATGTTAATCCTTTCCCTTCCCTGAGGATTGTTAAACTGGATTCTTTTAAATATTCCTCACAAGACACTGGCCATCACTAGAAGTTACATTATGAGTCTTACACTCTCCAATCTCATTCCTCAACTTTTCTGGTCGAGCAACTGATCTGGATGAAAAGCAAGGTATGCAAAGGGGTAAATTATGTTGTTGGTCGACATCAGTACTGGAATGCTATGTCACTAATCTCTTGATTGAACTCAAGGAGTCTAACTTCCCATGATAACTTGTTGCTTAATATGAGGTAGGTTGATAACGTTATCCTCAGTTGTCAGATAGGAAGAGAAGCATGTGTAACACGCCCAACATCGTAATTTCTTAGAATGAGGCACCTGGGTGTGTGTCTGGGTTTGACTGTCTTCTATCATATAGCTCTTTTCAGAATTATTAGCAACCATACCAAATAATTGAGAGTGACCAGACCTCAGGTAAGTAACCATAAATACAAATGGCCTTTGCGTCTTTGCCACTTTGTTATGGTCCCTTCCTACCTTTTCACTGAGTAATGTCTGGCCCACATCCTGTGCTTCTTAAACTATTGTTTTCTTTCTCCATATCTTGAAAGTTCACAAAGATGTGTTTTTAAAATATATATGTTCTAGAATTTGGGGAATCCTTAGAAAGTCTGTTTTGCTTTTGCCAAATGATGTCTTCTTTTGGTTGAAAGTATAAATAAATTGAGTCGAAAACATGCCTTGTAACAGAGAACAAGAGTCTGTCTACTATAAATAATTCATACTCACTAAAATGGATAAATTGATGATCATTAGTGGAAACTGCACTATTACCTACCACCTTTCCCACTCTGATGAGTGACTTCCTATCATATTACACTGCTTTATTTCTCCATGGCATTTACTACTGTGTGACATTATATTACTTATTGTTTGCTAGATTTTTTATTCTGTCTCTCCCTGCTAGAATATTTTAAGAAATCAAAAGATTTTACTGGAATGTTTGGCTGAGTTTTTCTGCTGACAGCATTTTTTGATTAATGGCATCTTCTATTTATATATTGTACTCTTCAGAGAGTTACGATTTGGAATTAAACATATTGATGATGATGATTTTATTAAACCTATATAATATACATATGGACCCATATTAATGTGACCTTCATGAGACCAGTGACCTTGTGTGTTTGTCTATTCCATATCCCCAAGGCCTAGAGCAGGCATATACACAGCAGATACATAATAAATATTTGTTAAATAAACCAATGAATGCATTGTCTATGTATTGCAATTTGCATTTTACTGTCTACTATGAACATTTTGTTTAGGGTCTACACCTTATCTCCTAAGTAGACTGTGACTTGTCATATAGGCAAGGACCACACCCTATGGTTATTTATGTCCTAACATTAATTAAAACTATGTTGGTTCCAAAGTAGGTGGTTATTAATTATTCAAGTGATATTTAGCCAATGATCCAGGATATCAAAAACTTCTACAGTCACTCCATTTTGTCCTCTTAATTATTTTTTAGGGGTCAGCTTTGTTGCTAGTTTCTCCAGGAAATGTACCTACACCCCACATCCCCTCCAAGGCTGAGTTCTCCAACACGATCACAGCACATTTCCTCTGTCCCCTTAGCACCGCACTTCCATGTTGTTGTGGCGGTTGTTGTCTTATTATTTGTTTCTAGGACTGTTTTTCTGCCTAGACTGTGAATCCCTTGAATGTTGTAAATGTCTCTTATCCATCTTTATATTTCTGAATTTGCTTATTAAGTCTCTGAATAGATATCCCTATTATCATCACAATAATAAAATGTAAAAAATCAAGTGCTCAAGTGTGTGGTTCCGGGTATAAAATAAAGCCAATTAAGAACCCATGTAAGTACTTTCAGATGCTAAAGTTAACTTAAATCTTAACTCTAGATTACTTGAGGGTCCGCTAGATCTTTCTTTGTATAATAATTCTTTGTACTTCCATAGGTATAAGAATATACTACTGCATACATTTATGGAATTTATCTATATATATCATGTGGACATGTGTATATAGGTAGCTAGAACTCACTTCTTATCTACGTATTGTTTTGGTGGCTGGTGACTATACTACACTAAACCAGAAAGGATGCTCTTTTGTTTTTTTTTCTTATGTGGGGGGACATCCTAAATGTCTGGTAAGTATGATTTTAATAATTGATAAGTATGTTTTTAATAATTTGTCACTAAACTTGAAGACTTTATACATATATATATATATATATATATATATATA